TTGGGTGAGTAGATTTTACTCTGTTTTACTCTGTTTTACTCTGTTCACGTGTGTGGTCAATACATTTGTGACGTACTACTGAAGCTGGATTAATAGTCAGACAACTTCTGGGAATATAGCTTATGTGTGTCAGAGACCGTTACAAAATAACTGGGTGTCTGTGTAATAAAGACTGCTCTTTAAACTACTTCAGTTGTTAGAAAATCTGAAAGCAGACACCAGGAATGCTGTTCACAACTGTCTCCTTTATTTTGCATCAACAACGAGCCAGAAATAAGTGGCTAGTAAAGGACTCTTAACGGTTATGAAATGATTGTGAAAGTTTTTTTTTTACTCCTACACAGATCTTTTTTTTTCAGATTTCCACTGTGTTTGTCAAACCTTCTCCTTTATGTCGCAGTCGCTTAATTTCTGCACACTCTTATATAACTTATACTCTTACTACGTAAAACCACATGAACTCATGAAAAATGAAGGGAGGGATCTCAGGTAACAAAAACAAATCCACAACAGAAAGAAGTTTCTGGGTGTTTGTGTCTGTCATGTAATGAAGAGGTTTTGCAAATAGTGTCAGTTCATTCTTCCATCCGCTGAAATGGGGCTTAAATACTTGCATCTATAAAAAAAACAATCAGGCTATTTAGCAAAAAGTCTAGGCAATATTCCTACTGTAATTGAGATCACCGTGTAATGACATATGTTTGGAATGAAGCCAGTTTTGAAATAAAAGCCAAAGTTCGCACTGTTTTACATTTTCAATGTCTTACAGACCCCACATCAGTGCTCTTTCAGTTCAATCTTTCATGTAAGAAGTTGTTGGATGGAAAAATGCAATTTAAGATTTTAAACATCACCTCTTCGGCCTTAGGAAGGATCCGATCAGCTAAATATTGCTTCTTTATTTTCTTTGCCTAACACATTTTCAGTTGACTAGGGAAGTACTGCTTGGACAATACATTTCTAATAAACTTACTTGTGAACGGTTTACTATTTGAGTTTGTACCTTAAAGACAGAGTTGTCTCATTTATGCTAGAGTACAATACAAACTGTTGAATTATTGTTTTTTGAGCAGTGCTATTTGAGCAGTACTGGGATGACCTTTCTGCTGCTTTTTAAACAATCAGCCATATCAGTCCGGTCCTTTCGGCCAACTCTGTGTACAATGTCGATTGTTCTTCTTAAAGGAAATTAATGGGCTCGATCCTTACAATTATAAGTGGTCCTGTATCTCAAGGGGCTGCCACAAATAATATTTCCAGATGTGTTTTACTGCCTTATGTGTGGTGTGAGCGCTTGCAGTTCAAAGCAAATAAATATATCTATAATATATAGTACATGAAGATAAATTCTAAAGCCACATTTAACCGGCAGCCAAGTGCAGGGAGACAAAGAGAGGTGTGACGTGGGCCCTTTGGGTTCGTTGAAGATCAGTCGTGCCGCTGCATTCTGAATCATTTATAGAGGTTTGATTGTGCTTGATGGAAGTCCAGCCAGAAGAGCATTGCAGTAGTCCAGCCTAGAGATGACAAAGGCCTGGACAAGAAGTTGTGCAGCATGCTCCATTAGAAAGGGCCTGATCTTGCTGATGTTGTGCAATGTAAACCTGCAAGATCAGGTTGTTTTTGCAGTGTGGTCTTCGAAGGTCAGCTGGTCATCAAAGATTACACCAAGATTTCTGACTGAACTTGATGGGGTCCTGTGATGCCCAGTGAAGAGAGTGCAGACAGGAGGATCTGATGACTGACAGTGTCACAAGCAGCAGATAGATCCAGCAGAATAAGGACTGATGATTTGGAATCAGCTTTCGCTGAAACCTAATTGGTTAATTTCCAGCTGGTTATTCTGTGAAAGAAATAATGATACCTTGTTGAAAACAAGCCGTTCAAGTGTTTTCGCTATGAATGGAAGGAGAGACAGGTCTGTAGCTATCTGTAAGTGAAGTGTTAAATGTAGGTTTTTTGAGCAGTGGGGTTACCCGAGCCTGCTTGAATGCAGTGGGGAAGGTGCCTGTGAGGAGAGATGTGTTGATGATATGTGTGAGTGCTGATTGCTTGGAGAAGCTGTGAGGGGACTGGGTCTAGAGAGCATGTTGCAGGATGGTTGGAGAGGAGAAGCATAGATACTTCTGCCTCAGTGAGGGGACAGAAGGAGGAGACTTTTCCATGTCATGAGAAAGGCTATGGCATTTAATGAGACAGCAATCATTCTCCATTTCAACATGTTCTTAAGTGCGTCACTTATCAACTCAACTCTAAAGTGGTGACGGCCGTCGTCAGTAATGCAGAAACCAAGCATCTGTCAGAGCCGGTGATGCTCGTCTTCACACACGAGGAGGTGAAGATACTGACAAGATCTCAGTGGACACTGTTTCTGTCAATGGTTACACAATTACAAATAAAAAGCTACAATGTAAATACCCTGTTTGAAAATCCAGTTTAAGCTGGATTCTAGCTGGTTTACAAATGGTTCCAAAAACCAGCAAGGCAAGGCAAGTTTATTTATATAGCACATTTCGTACACAATGGTAATTCAAAGTGCTTTACATAAAATAAAGTAAAATAATCATATATGCTAAGATTTTCTGGTTCTAGTCAGAATTCTGGCAGCAGTGTTCTGGATGAGCTGCAGCTGTCTAATGGTCTTCTTGGGAAGGCCGGTGAGGAGACCATTACAATAGTCCACCCTGCTGGTGATAAAGGCATGAACAAGTTTCTCCAAGTCTTGACTGGAAACAAAACCTCTAATTCTTGCAATGTTTTTGAGATGATAGTATGCTGATTTAGTTACTGCTTTGACATGACTACTGAAACTAAGGTCTGTCTCCAGAATCACACCAAGATATTTGACTTAATTCCTTACATTTATATAGCACTTTTCTGGGCACTCAAAGCGCTTTACATAGAAGGGAGGAATCTCCTCAACCACCACCAGTGTGCAGCATCCACCTGGATGATGCGACGGCAGCCATAGTGCGCCAGAATGCCCAACACACACCAGCTTATTGATGGAGAGGAGTGATGAAGCCAATAAGCAGATATGGGGATGCTTAGGATTTGATTTAGATTTTTAGTTGTTAGACCCCTAGAGTCAAGGTATGCATTCACCTTGAGACTACATTTCTCAAAATCTGTTCCCATGAAGAAGCAAACTCATCTACATCTTGAATGACCTGAGGGTGAGCACATTTTCAGCAATTTTTTTTGCTTTTGGGTCGTTAGTGAAATGCTATTGAAAATGGCTATAGGTGTTGCTAGATAGGCTACCATATCACATTATTTGTACCAGCCCACACAACTGTACCTCTATATTTTCTCTCTGCAACATCTGTATGCCTGCCACGTATAGATGCTATAGTGAATTTCAAGTTTCGTCTTCCGCCACATCCGCTCAGCTTTTGTGCATTGTCTTTTCATACTCTGTACTGCTGTTTATTTTCTCCAAGCTGATTTTTGTCTGCCAGTCTTCCTGCTGACTTTCAAAGGAGCAATGTCATCAATAACATTCTTCACTTTTGAGTTAAAGGAATCAAGGAGAAGATTAACAGAGTCTGCAGAAATGCTTGGTTTTAAAGATATAGCCTCCATAAATAGCACACTAGTGTTTTCGTTAATGCATCTCTTTCTGACAGAGACAGATCTAGATTCAGTGGTAGCAGAGTTCAATATATCAAAGAAAATACAGAAGTGATCAGATAGTGCTACGTCCTTACGTCCTCAAGTACTCTTGGATGAATTAATGAATGATGCTTAAACAGTTGTCTATGGCCCCAGAAAAGATTGAAGTTGTCGATGAAGTGCACTCCTTTTATATTGCAGGATCTTTGTAGCCATGTGTTTAGTCCAAGCAACCATGAAAACATATTAGTTCCCCTTGCTGGGAGTGGTCCACTGATGAACGACTGAACTTTGAGTCTTGTGCTTCATCAGAATTTTCCAGAGTTCCCTGTTCACATCAGAGACGGTTGCTTGCGGAAGGCAGCATGTTGTTGTATTTCTGCTACTGCTGTTTCTGATAATGGAGTCACCCACTATCAGAGTCCTGGGCTCAGCTGCGCTCTGAGCTGAAAGCCGCTGTCTGCTCGACCTTGAGCGCCTGTTAGTAGCGATGCTAGCTGCTGGCTGATCCGATCCATGTTTAATCACATTTGGGGATTCCTCCCCCACATTCATTAATGCTTCAAATCTGTTCTCAAGATGTATAGGGGGTGGTAGAATACCAGTATTCACAAGCCTTGTCATAGCCGTATCTGGGGTAGAGGATGCTATCGCAGCAATATGAGATACTCGTGACAATCTGATGTCTCTACTGCCTTTGGGTCTCGCTCCCTGTTTGTGCCATCGATTAGTGTGATGATCAGTTTTGGCTTGTTCCTCTACACTTGGTATAAACTGTTGAGATTCACTAGATTCATAGGACTCACCGGCTGTATGCTGAGGGGGTTTGTGACGACGGTCTGCTGAGTGTTCTGCCTGTTTTGGAAGTCCAGCAAGTAACTTTGTTTCAAGAACCACAATCCTTTGTAGAAGTTTGTGGCAGTTCATGCAGCAAGTAGATTCAGACATTTTCTCTCTCTTCTGTTTGAATGTAGACAGCTGTGTTTTCCCGTCTCCGGAATGTAAGCTGCTGGCAGTGGGAGGCAAAAGTACCCTTTTTTGTAGTATTATTCCAGTCCCAAAGAGTTTTTAGTTTTTAGTGCCAAAAATGTGTTGTTTGAGCACTGTGCTGATCTGCTGAAGTAAAAATCGTAGAAAAATCTGAGAAAAGTACAGAAATAGGGAGCAAAGCGCAGAGCAGTAAGCAAGAATGTCCGAACGGTAGCGAAGCCGGAAGCAAGACATTAAGCTTGTATGACCAGCTGGTTTGTTGCTGGCAGAGGCTCTACCAGTCGTATTTTAGCAATTGATATATTATTATAGTTTTTATATTTTGAATGAGATTTTATTTTTATATTTTGTCTTTTCAGTTTAATTTTAATGTTAGTAATTGTGTTGTGTTTTTGTCATTTTTATTATTACGCTTTTAAACATCTGTATAATTTTTATTAATTTTTATTTCAGTTTTAGTTTTAGTTATTTTAGTGTACAAGCTAAGCTAAATAAAAAAATTGAAACGTTACCTTGGCAACTAGCTGAAATAAAATAAGTTTAAGTTTTTATATTTTATTTCAAGAAAATAAAATGTTTATTTATGGTTTTGGTTTTAGTTAACTATTGTAACCCTACTAATGGCCTTCTTAAACCAGCAGGATACCATCTACCGTGTTCCAAACTTAAGCTGGATTTTCCCGCAGGGTTTACATGTAGCACCAAAATGCATGAGAATGTGAAATTTGAATTTTAAACATGAAATTATGACTGTAAAGACATTATTAAAAATTAATTATAAAATGTATAAAATATATGTCATGCTCTTGATGCTGCTTTTCATTTACGCCAAAGAGAGCCACTGAACTGAGCTGGTATATTTGGCATTGCACAGATCCTACTCAGAACATCAGCACTTGTGTCTTGTGTTTGTTTCCAAACTTTTCCTAAACTTTTCAGGCAGCTGTTCACGTGTTCCTCGTTTTCTAAACTCTTCTTCTCACTTCTTCAGGAGAGGGCGGAGTCTGAGGGCGTGGCTTACTCCTGTGTGTACTGGGATGAGGCTGAGGGGGCGTGGTCTGGGCGGGGCTGTGAGGGGGCGTGGTCTAACAGCACTCATACAGTGTGTTACTGGTCTCATTTCAGTAGTTTCGCTGTGCTCATGGCTCTCTATCCTGTCCAGGTACTTGCAAAACTGAGATTTCACATATTTCATTTAGAGTTTAGATTAAATTAAATGATGATGATGTTCCCTCTTCCTCTCCTCCAGGACTCGTTTGAGTTGGTGCTGATCACGCGTGTGGGTTTAGTTCTGTCTCTGGTCTGTTTGTTTCTCTGTATCCTGACGTTCCGGTTCTGCCGCTCCATCCAAGGAACCCGAACCAGCATCCATCTCCATCTGAGCATCTGTCTCTTCATCGCAGACCTCGTCTTCCTCTGTGGGATCTCCAGCACTCACAATCCGGTGTGTTTGAATGAGAAAATAGACACTTTAATCACACTTAAATATGTCTGAAAGTCATTCTGCTGACAATATTAAAACAAGTGTCATTTATTATCAAGAAAGATGCACTTTACACTGAAACAAGTGGTGATGAAGCATTTCTCACTCATAAATTGCTAGTAAATTTCACAAAAAGGGCAAGTAACATTAAATTAAACATGAAATTTTGAAATAGAAAGACTGCAGTTTTCCCACCAGGATTTCGCAGGACTATTTCTTTCTAATTTTGCAGCCTAAAATGACTGAATTTGCAGTGTCTTTGCATTGAAAACCCATCAATAATAATGATGTACTTATGTAATTAGTGTTAGTGACAGTAAGAGCACAATTACCTGTAAATACTATGTGCATATTTACTAAAATTGTGGTTCTGGGTCCCCCATGCACAAGGCAATGGTGACACCAGAATAGAAACACTCATAATTCTGCTCTGCTGAAACAACAGAATTATGTTCGACCCAATACCTTGCACGTTGAGTCAGTATGTAATCAGTGATAATGATTGTATACTATTGAATGTTAAATGTTACATATTAAATGCCTACATCCTACGTCATTCGCTGGAATGCCACTCTAATACAGTTTATAAAGTTTATTAAATTATATTTAATATTATATGTAAATATATTTTTCTTACACAAACGCATCGCTTTGTTTCAGAAGGCCTTTATTCACCCCCCAGAGCCACTTGTTATGATGGATGGACACACTTTATTTTGCCTCAAAATCTGGACCACTACCCACTGCCATTATAGAGCTTGACACACAATTCACTGCAATGCAGTGACAACACACTTGAACATGAACTGATTAATTAGTTTGGACTCTGAATTATGGATTTGTATGACCTAATAATTAAAAAAATAAAATTTTAACCTTAAAGAAGGAAAGAAAGAAGAAAATGCGAGCAAACAGGAGAATGATGTGACGTGTGTTTCTCTCTCAGGTGGGGTGTGCGATTGTGGCCGGTCTGCTTCACTTCTTCTTCTTGTCTGCGTTCTGCTGGATGCTGCTGGAGGGGGTTCAGCTCTACCAGATGGTTGTGCTGGTCTTTCACACCACATTAAAGCATCTCTACATGTATCTGGTGGGATACGGGGTCCCTCTCGTCATCGTCACCGTCTCTGCCATCGCCTTCCCAGCGGGATACGGCACCGAGCGACAGTGAGTTTCTGAAATTGGTCAAATATGCATAGAAAAAATATATGATTAGAATATTGACTAATAATCATGCACACGACACAATGTATATAATATATAGTATATAATAAGAAACCCACCCTTAACCCGTCTCTTTTAGAGAACTACAGACCGGTTCCCTTCTTTCTATCATTGCAAAAACACTTGAAAGAGCTGTGTTCAACCAAGTCTCTGCCTTTCTCACACAGAACAACCTCCTCGACAGCAACCAGTCTGGTTTCAGAAGTGGACATTCAACTGAGACTGCCTTGCTCTCAGTTGTTGAAGCCCTAAAACTGGCAAGAGCGGATTTCAAATCTTAAATACTTGTTTTGCTGGATCTATCTGCTGCTTTTGATATGGTGAACCATCAGATTCCATCAGTGGTTTGAGTCTTATCTCTCAGATAGCTCCTTCAAGATATCTTGGAGAGGTGAGGTGTCCAAGTCGCAACATCTAGCTACTGGGGTGCCTCAGGGCTCAGTTCTTGGACCACTTCTCTTCTCTGTCTACATGGCATCACTAGGTTCTGTCATTCAGAAACATGGCTTTTCATATCACTGCTATGCTGATGACACTCAACTCTACCTCTCATTCCATCCTGATGATCCGACGATAGCTGCTCGCATCTCAGCTTGTCTAACAAACATTTCTTGTTGGATGACGGACCATCACCTTCAACTCAACCTTGCCAAGACAGAACTGCTTGTGGTTCCAGCAAACCCATTGTTTCATCACAATTTCACCATCCAGTTAGGCACATCAACCATAACTCCTTCAAAAACAGCCAGAAACCTTGGAGTTGTGATTGATGATCAGCTGACTTTCTCAGACCACATTGCTAAAACTCTCCGGTCCTGCAGATTTGCTTCATTCAACATCAAGAAGATCAGGCCATTTCTTTCGGAACATGCTTCACAACTCCTTGTTCAAGCTCTTGTTCTGTCCAGGCTGGACTAGTGCAATGCTCTCTTGGCAGGTCTTCCAGCCGTTTCTATCAAACCTTTACAATTAATCCAATGCAGCAACCAATAATAATTTTTAATGAGCCGAAAAGAATGCACGTCATACCTCTGTTTATCAATTTGCACTGGCTACCAGTAGCTGCTCGCATAAAATTCAATGCATTAATGTTTGCCTACAAAACCACCACTGGCTCTGCACCCCTTTACCTAAATTCATTACTTCAGAGTTATGTGCCTCTAGAAGCTTGTGTTATGCAAGTGAACGTCACTTTATTGTTCATCTCAAAGAGGCTCAAAATCACTTTCACTGACTTTTAAATTAAATGTTTCCTCCTGGTGGAATGACCTGCCCAACTCAATCCCAGCAGCAGAGTCCTTAGCCAGCTTCAAGAATCGGCTAAAAACACATCTTTTCCATCTTTTTTTGACCCGCTAACTCTAGCACTCTCTATTCTAATTCTATTCTTTAATAAAAAAAATTAAAAAACTTGCCCCTTTTAGACTTGTCACCTTTATTTATTTACATAGCACTTTTAACAATACAGATTGTGTCAAAGCAACTTTACAGTATTAAATAGGGAAATAGTGTGTCAATTTTATGCAACTTGCACTCTATTCATTTACTAACTGCTTGTTTTCTTAAAAAAAAAAGCTTCTGTAATCTTTTTGTATTCTATCTATTTGTTTTCTTTTTATTAATTATACAATTAACAAAAGCAAAAAAAAAAGGCCTCTAACATTAGCTTGCTATATTCTTTTTCTATTCTGTCTGTTTTTTTAAATTTATTATATGATAAAAAAAAAAAACCTTGCTACATGTACTGCATTAAGCTAACTGAGACTTGTTCTAGCACTTGCATATCATTGCTCTTTTGTTGGCTTTGATCTCTTCTATTGTCCTCATTTGAACGTCGCTTTGGATAAAAGCGTCTGCTAAATGTCTAAATGTAATAAAGACCCCATTAATCAACATGTGGGTTTTGTCTCAACTTTAAGCTCTATATGCTAGCGTACTTTTACAAGTCTTGACAGTTAGGAACTCTTATATTTATATTTATATTTTCCTTTGGGAAACGTACCAAAAGTATTGACTACTTATCTTATGTGCAAACAAATCATTTCAATCAGGGTTCATGGCTGTGATATAAACTAAAGCCTCTCATAGTCTTTTATGTGTTTTTGTAATCATGTGACTAGTTTATCATTCTAATGTGTGTGTTGCAGCTGCTGGCTCGCTCTCGATCGTTATTTTATCTTGAGTTTCTTCGCGCCCGTCTGCATCATTGTGATCCTCAATGGTTTTGTCTTCGTCATCACCGTCTGGAAACTGGCCAGAAAGTTCTCCAGCCTCAATCCAGACCTCTCCAAACTCAACCAGATCAGGTGTGTGATCTCAAAATAGATTCAGTCAGTCTTGATGTTTGTGCATCAGTGGTTCTGATGAAGTATATTTGGTGTGTAGGAGCTTTACGGTGACCGCTGTGGCTCAGTTGTGTATTCTTGGAGGAACGTGGATCTTCGGCTTCTTCCTCTTCCAGGAGAAAGGGACTGAAGTCATGTTGTACCTCTTCATCATCCTCAACAGCCTGCAGGGGGCGCTCATCTTCATCATGCACTGCCTGCTGTCCAAACCGGTGCTTAAAACACACCATGACTCAGAAAATCCATGAAGAATTTACTTACAAGCTGAACATTTGGTAACAATGACTTGTTTTAGATTTTCAGTAACATCTTGCTGGATTTCAGTGATTTGAAGTGACAGTTCACCCAAAATAAAACTAAAAAAATAATAAATAATTTAAAATATTAAGTCATGTTTTTAATTGCTCTAGTTATTCATTTGCCCTTGAGGAGAAATTTTAAGAACGCTCATCCTTATAACGGAAGTGTATGGTGACCTTCTTCAAGCTTAAAAAAATTATGCAAACGGATCACAAAGTGATCCCATTCAATTCATGCCATTTATACTAATTGTTCAGAAGTAGTGGTTGACCCATATATCACCAAGGGCCGATATTTGGCATTTTTAAATTATCGGCATTGACCGATAAGTTTGGCCGATAAATGTCAGAAAAAGCTTTTATTTTGACAGCAACAGTAGTTTTATATTGACAGCTCTAAGAACAACAGTATCTGAGCGCAGTTGCGAGTGTAGTCTTAAATCCTTGATTTCGAACTATACTGAGCTATATATCCAGCTATATTCATATCATATTCACAGTGTATTGTACATTAAATGTAGCGTTACCTGGTCTTCATTTGGGAAAATATGACTCCAAGTGCACAACAAAACTAACAGATTACTGGGTGAACTAGTTTTTTATTTGTGAAAAATATTATAATATGATTACATCCTACGATTAGAGGGTTATTTTCCAGATTAATTTTTTTATCAAGTTCAAATTATTTTTCTTATTGATTAATTGTACACTTAATTATTTCTAATGTACTAAATATGTCAAATAAATCAAAATTTCATTGCAGTAATTGTTATACATGTTTTTAAATAGTGTAATGTCATATATACACATATGGGGTTTATATCGGTCATCGGCCACCCTGCTTTCTAAGATATCGGTATCGGCATCAGCCATCTAAATCCAAAATTTGTTACTCAGTCAAATATCATTAAGTTTGCCTGTTGTGTCGCCCCCTTCAGGTCAGGACGGAGTATTACAATCTGTTTGTCCGAATGTGTCCACACAAGAAGAAAGCCGAACACAGAACCAGTACCAGCCAGACCAGCAGCAGTCAGGTACGTTAGTGTGTGTGTTTGAGTGTTTTTGGACATTAAAGCAGCGTTTGTGGCTTCAGCTTCTTCATTCCTCCTTTGACTTTTACAGAAACCTCTACGGAGCGACGGCAGCACAGCAGAGTCACAGATGTAAAGCGCTTGCCATCTGCTGATGGATTTTGTACAAACTCTTCAACACAAGACGCATAAAGATAAAGCTTTAATTCAGCAGTACACGTTCACAGGAGTTCATCGTCATCCGATGAGTACTACAGATGCTGGTTCATCATGTGATATGCATCATCTGTTACTGGAGACGGAGATATAGGCTTGTCGTAATGCATCCCATAGGAACAGATACAAGTCATCATGCCATTCTTTGAATAGAGTATTTAGGTTGCTTCTGTCTTTTGCTTTTCTTTGTTGTGCAAGTGGAAAAAGTCTTGCTTTTTAGAAGGATACACTGTTTTATAATGCTAAATGTTGTATCGTGTTGAGGGAGAGCTTAGTTTGATTATGTTGATTAATGGAGTCATTCTTTAGAAGCAAGGCCATAACCATCCTGAAATAAATCCCGATTTCTAGCTCACTATTTCTCCCTCCATTATAAAGGAATGTAATGACTGAAACAACTGAAAGTTATACTGTCAGTGACATGTCTGTTTATATTATATTACACTGGCAAAGATGTATTTTTATATGCAATTTTCTATATGCAAACTTAATTTTACTTCATTTTCATGAGGGAAAGGGGAATAAATGGGATATACATTAATAACTCATGTTATTTATTAAAATCTGGTTCAAAACTATTTATTATTATTTATCATTTGTAAGTCTCATGGGTTTATTATTCTGTGTTGTGTCTCCTCTTTCAGGTCGGAGAGAGTTTTGCGAGAATATGAGCACACGAAGAGAAGAAACGACGCATATTTTAGCAAAAAATAGTCTAATAACAGTCAGGTAAATATGTGTGTGCACCATAATGCGTTTTCAGCAAACAACCTCTACAGGATGATCAAAAATGAGTCAATGATGTAAATTGGTTTCCAATTTGTTGTCCGTTCAGAAGCTCTGCAGAATGAAGATGTGTTTCTGGCTGGCGTTAATAAGTAGGCATTTTGTGTGGTATTTCACATCCAAACTAAATAGATAATAATGTAATAATAAATACTAATCAGTATGCAATAAACATAATAATAAATGAATGTCTGACTGGCACTGACAAGTAGCAAATAATGGTTTTGTAAATGCAAGGGTAAAAAAGAACAAAGCCCATGGTATTTTGTGTTCAAACTAAATAAATAAATATATAATATGATAAAAAATAAAATGATAAATAGTATGATAAAAAAGGACATGCCCTATGTTGTTTTGCATTCAAATGAAATAAATAATGATATAAATAAAATTAAATATAATACATAATATTACATCTAATTACTTGCATATATATATACAGTCAAACCAACAATTATTCAGACACCAGATATCATTTTAAATATTGTTTTACTAGTGGGTGCAGGACACTATAGTTCATTTATGTAAGTGAGGAGAGCAACATAAAGTGAACTGTGACATATTACAGCCACAGATTCTTCATACAGTGGACTACCAGTAAAACTTAAAAAATTATTCAGACACTTTGACCTCACCATGTTTTGCTTAAGTGTTATCTGACATTATCAAGATTAATTTGTTCTGACACAGTTTAAGTTCTTATTTTATTACCATTTTCTAAACTATAGCGAATAAACTGTGATAATGGGAGAAATGTTGAAGGTGTCTGAATACATTTTGGTTTGACTGTATATATGTAAATACTAAATGTGATAAGAAATAAATCCCATATCTGATGGTTTCACTGAAAGCCCTTCTGAAGCGAGCACTGATCCGTCTGTGGGTGTCTGTGTGTCTGCAGCGGTGTTGGAGGTGAAGGAGTCTCTCAGCTCTCTTTCTCTCTTCTGTACCGGTTCATCTCCGGCCGAGCCTCTGGATTCGCTCTCGGCTCAGAATCTGGATGATCTGCTGGCTTCATCTCCTGACACGCCGCCCACCGTCACACACAACAAGGGCTTCAACGGTCTGTATGAGTGTGTGTGTGAGTGTGTGTGTGTGTGAGTGTGTGTGTGAGAGTGTGAGTGTGTGTGAGTGTGTGTGTGTGTGTGCGTGTGTGTGCGTGTGTGTGCGTGTGTGTGTGTTTGTGATTGTGTGTGTTTGTGAGTGTTTGTGAGTGTGTGTGTGTGTGTGTGTGTGTGAGTGAGTGAGTGAGTGTGTGTGTGTGTGTGTGTGTGTGTGTGAGAGAGAGTGTGAGTGTGTGTGAGAGAGAGAGAGAGAGAGAGAGAGAGAGTGTGAGTGTGCGTGTGCGTGTTTGTGAGTGTGTGTGTGTGAGTGTGTGTGTGTGAGTGTGTGTGTGTGTGCGTGTGTGTGGGTGAGAGAGAGAGAGTGTGTGTGTTTGTGAGTGTGTGTGTTTGTGAGTGTTTGTGAGTGTGTGTGAGTGTGTGTGTGAGCGTGTGTGCGCGTGTGTGCGCGTGAGTGCGTGTGAGTGTGAGTGTGAGTGTGCGTGTGCGTGTTTGTGAGTGTGTGTGTGTGAGTGTGTGTGTGTGTGTGTGTGTGAGAGAGTGTGTGTGTGTGTGTGTGTGTGAGAGAGTGTGTGTGTGTGTGTGTGTGTGAGAGAGTGTGTGTGTGTGTGTGTGTGTGAGAGAGTGTGTGTGTGTGTGTGTGTGTGAGAGAGTGTGTGTGTGTGTGTGTGTGTGAGAGAGTGTGTGTGTGTGTGTGTGTGTGAGAGAGTGTGTGTGTGTGTGTGTGTGTGAGAGAGTGTGTGTGTGTGTGTGTGTGTGAGAGAGTGTGTGTGTGTGTGTGTGTGTGAGAGAGTGTGTGTGTGTGTGTGTGTGTGAGTGAGAGAGTGAGTGAGTGTGTGTGTGCGTGTGTGCGTGTGTGTGGGTGAGAGAGAGAGAGTGTGTTTTTGTGTGTGTGTTTATGGATGATGTGCTGCATATTTCTGTGTATGTGAGAGTGAGTTTATTTTACAGCAGGTAATGTCTCCACATGTCTTCAGACGTATTTTAGATGTTGTAATCGTCAGGTCACATTTCACAGCAACAAAACAATTCAGAGAAATTATATTTTGCCTAAAGAATACAAACCCTCTTTTAGGCTCTTTTTTAAACTTTGTGACATTATTATTATTATTATATTTGTGACATTAAAATTCAGCATATTTCCCCTCTCCCACTTCAACACTTTTATTTTGAGTTTTAGTATTATAATCCTACTGCGTTAGTACCACATCTACTACATTACTATTTTTTATATGTTCATTCATCAAATGTAAAAAATATTTATATAGCACCAATAAAAACAACATAAGTTGACCAAAGCGCTTTACAACAATAAATACAAAACCTGACAATAGTAATAAAACATAATAACAACTTATTATTGTTATTTGTAATATTATATAATTATTGTTTTAAATATTGATTTTCATCAGATTCTCGTTATATTTTCATTATATCATTGTATTATTTAAAATCTGCATAAGTGAATATTACCATGATAAGTTATTACTTTTATAATTGTATTTTATGTGATTTTTTTGTTATATATCACGAGAACATTGTTGAAACAATGTTGAAAATATGAATAATCGTGTTATCTTGTTTATATTATATATACATTATTTAAATTGGCATAAATAAATCATCACAAATATGACCATGATGAATAAACGCTTTTACAATGTAAAATATTTAATATATGCTTTTAAAGTAATATATCATTAAATTAAATTATTTACAATATATAAAGTAAAATACTGTTGTTTTCTTTTGGGGGCTTAGTTGCTAAAAGTAAAGATTTCTCAATACTAAAAATCTTAATACTCTTAAAACAGGCTACATTTGTTTTTAATGGTCAGTCTAATAATTCTTGTTTCTCGCTTGTGAGTTTGGGTTGTATGTGAGCCGGACGTGTTTTTGGCAGGTTGTGTGAGATTCACCCCTTTACAAAGAGAGAGAGAGAGAGAGAGAGAGGGGGGCAGTGGTATTATGTGTGTTTTCAGTGAGTGAGCGAGCAAGTGGTAAAGTGGGGAAAAGGTTACATACCAGCCAAGTGCAGCGCCTGAAGGAGAGAGAGAGAGAGAGAGACTGAAAGAAAGAAAGAAAGTCAGAGCAACAAAAGCAGATTGTGTGGGAAAAACATGATAAAGGGAGAAAGAGGGCAGAAAACAGATCCGGTCCCTGAGGAGACGCACAGAAATCATGATCAGGAGACTGAGGAGAAAGACACCAGTGTCTGACACAGACAGACTGATGGACAGAGGGCTTGTAAATGTGTCAGAGGGAGAATGGTGATTGGTTAATTCACCTCTGAGCCAGTCAGATGGGCTGATGTTGTACGTGTGTGTTTAGTTTATTTGGGTTCAGTCGTGTCCAGACGCGAATCAGATCTGACACAACCTCCCTCAGGGACAGCCAGCAGCGTCTTCAGCTGGAAACATGATTCACACAGTGCATTCCTGACCTTTCCCCCATAATGTATGTGTGGGACACAGTTTGATTCACGTGCTTCATTACACAACCTGTGTACTAGTCACTGCTGGTTTTGATGTGTGTAGAGTGTGAGTTAACTTCAGGTTCAGGTTTTTACAGTCATGAAAAACCTGGAAATATCAGGGAATATTTCTAATTTCAAATCCTAAAAAGTCTTTCAAATTTATATATATATATATATATATAAATACATTTGAAAGACTTTTTTTTTGTGATTATTGTTTTTTTCCCTTATAAAATATAAAATATTTAAGTGATTCCTTAAAAACTTCTTCCAAATTCTAATATATAAATTCTAATTAAAATTGTAAAACACTATGGTGAACTTATGTTCTTTTTAATGGTGCTGTATAAATATTAAAAATAAGAATATTTAAATTAATAAGTAGAAATACAATAAAAACCAAAAGTAAAATTTGGGCAGGGCGCTCTTTTTTCATGAACATAATGTCACAAATTAAAGAATCACACGGCTCCTAAAACTCAAAAGGTTTGTCTAATTTAGACTAAATCTAATTTACAGGCCTGGAAATGAGCAAATCCTAAATATTCATGGAAATTGTAATTGTGAATAGAGATTTTGTTTTCTAGTTTTGCTCAGCTATAAAATATTTAATCAAAATTGCTGTTGGAATGCAATCACTACAAAAGTTTTTCCTTGTTTTTAAAAAAAAGTCTTCTAATAATGAGTGGAAAAGTTATGGAAAATTGTTGGTCAAATCATCAAAATGCACGTTAATTGAGTAATTGTTGGAAAGTGAGCTGAAATTACCGCTTCACTTAATATATTAGAAAAACTGACAACTGTATCCATTTTAGAGTTAAAATAAACTACAGCTGTGTATGCTACAGTATGTGCTCATTATGATGCTGTTTGATGTGTAACACATGTTTCTCGTCTCAGACAGGTTATTTTACATCTACACCTCAGGAACGACGGGTTTACCTAAAGCTGCCATCATAGTTCACAGCAGGTTTGTGCAACACTGTTCTTAAAATATTGAGCAAACGTCATGTGTGCAACTGTTTCGCTCTGTGTTTGTGTGCGCTGTGTAAACAGGTACTATCGCATTGCTTCGTTTGGATATTACTCCTTCGGTCTGGGGCCAGATGATGTGGTTTACTGCTGCCTGCCGCTCTATCACTCCGCAGGTCTGTTTGCACTACACAAACGTCACGTTCAACACACTTTATGTCCTTCACTCATTACAGCATTACAGCAGCAGATTACTAAGAATACCTCAAATAACCCTCCATTCTAGTGATATTGACTAGGTTGATAAATCATTACATATTTGGTAGTTTCAAATGTATTACTATCATCTGATAACCTAAACAGTGTGTTAACCTAGTGTCAGCTCCATAATCTACCAACAGCCTTGTCAATATATAAACATTTTGTTCTTGTGAGTTTTGAGTAAATATTGTGTAAGATAAGTGTTGATTTTAGTTCAGCAGTTTTGAATGCATCTTATTTGACATCATTAGTTTGAGTAAATGCTATAAATTTAAGTATGTTACAGAATTTTATCATCAGATATCAACACTGACTATTTAAAAACATATTGATTTTGGATTTATGTTTTTATCAATCCATAAATCAGAAAATGGTGTCAACAGACAAAAAAAACACATCTTCACCATGTTTTTAGGGTTAAATGTTGTATAAATCAGTGTGAATGATATATGAACAAACCGCTCAGTATAATCCTTTAGAATATAGATAGGAATAAAACTGCTAAGTTTGGTGTATGTAAGTGCTGCTGAAGTGGAGAAAAAACTCACAACCTTTAAAGATATCAATTTTTACCATGTTTTTAGGGGTAAAATGTTGTATAAATCAGTGTGAATGATATATGAGCAAACCGCTCAGTATAATCCTTTAGAATTTAGATAGCAATAAAACTGCTAAGTTTGGTGTATGTAAGTGCTGCTGAAGTGGAGAAAAAACTCACAACCTTTAAAGATATCAATTTTTACCATGTTTTTAGGGGTAAAATGTTGTATAAATCAGTGTGAATGATGTATGAACAAACTGCTCAGTAAAATCCTTTAGAATATAGATAAGAATAAAACTGCTAAGTTTGGTGTATGTAAGTGCTGCTGAAGTGGAGAAAAAACTCGCCACATTTAAAGATATACATTTTTACCATGTTTTTAGGGGTAAAATGTTGTTTAAATCAGTGTGAATGATGTATGAACAAACCGCTCAGTAAATTCCTTTAGAATATAGATAAGAATAAAACTGCTAAGTTTGGTGTATGTAAGTGCTGCTGAAGTGGAGAAAAAACTCACCACATTTAAAGATATGTATTTTTACCATGTTTTTAGGGGTAAAATGTTGTATAAATCAGTGTGAATGATGTATGAACAAACTGCTCAGTAAAATCCTTTAGAATATAGATAAGAATAAAACTGCTAAGTTTGGTGTATGTAAGTGCTGCTGAAGTGGAGAAAAAACTCATTTTGAGAAAATGGCCTTTAAAGATATGCATTGTAATTGCAATTATTAAATTAAAAGCTTTAAAGGAACACATTAAGTATAATTTTTAAATGCTGAAACTGAATGTGTAGTTTAGGTCTCATGACCAGACTCATAGCAGACAGGATCAGTCTAATCAGCCAGTCATGTGTCTTCTCTCTGTGTTTCATAGGTAACATCGTGGGTGTGGGTCAGTGTCTGCTGCACGGTCTGACGGTGGTGATCCGCAGAAAGTTCTCCGCTAGCCGTTTCTGGGACGACTGTGTGAAATACAACTGCACGGTGAGGACCTCTGACCTCAGGAACCGTCACTAGTCATATAGATCTCACATTCATAAACTCGACAGCTGCACGCACAGCAAAGAAAACACATTAATGTGCAACTAATCATGTAATTGTGCATTTAGGATAGTAAATGATCTGTCTGTTTGCAGGTGGTCCAGTACATCGGTGAAATCTGTCGATATCTATTATCTCAGCCGGTCCGTCCGTCCGAGTCTCGTCACCAGGTGCGTGTTGCTATAGGCAACGGTCTGCGGCCCAACGTCTGGGAAGATTTTATGAAACGTTTCAACATCAAGCGCATCGGTGAGTTTTACGGAGCCACTGAGTGCAACTGCAGCCTCGCCAACATGGACAACAAGGTGTGTGTGAGTGTGTACTTGAACTCATTAGATCTGAATAGGTATTCAGTGTGATTTATGGATGTGTTATGTGCTCTTCTGGCCAGGTGGGGGCGTGCGGCTTCAACAGTGTGATTCTGCCCAGTGTTTATCCCATCAGACTGCTGAGAGCAGACGAGGACTCAATGGAGTTAATACGAAACAGTCGAGGACTGTGTGTCCCATGCAAACCTGGTGAGAAAAACACACACAAACATACAGTAGATGTGCGATTTAATATCTCAATAATAATAAACTGCATAAAATATTAACATTAGTTTGTGTGATTTAATATCTAGTAATTATGTCTTCAAAGCTGCATTTATTTATTAAAAATACAGAAAAACTGTGAAATATTGTTACATTTTAAAATAACTGTTTTCTATGTGAATATATGTTCAAATGCTGAATTTTCAGCATAATTTCTCCAGTCTTCAGTATCGCATGATCTTCAGAAATCATTCTAATATGCTGATTTGCTGCTCGAGAAACATCTCTGATTATTATCCATGTTGAAAACAGTTTTTCAGGACTCTTCAAGTTCAAAAGAACGACATTTGAAATAGAAATCTTTTGTAACATTATAAATGCCTTGACTGTCACATTTTATCAATTGAATCCATTTTTGATGAATAAAAATATTAATCTTACTGACCCAAACTTTTGAACACTAGTGTATATTTCGCAATAATGACCTGCTGATTGTACATTATTATCCCTTACTTAATGAAACTAAGTGTGTGAGAGTTGAATGATTTATCTGTCCTTTAGCATATTAACCTGTCGTGTTGCCAATATAATCATATTTGCCCGGAAACTCAAAACAAACTGAGTATCTGTGTAGTTTTCTGAACACATACGTACCATGGCAGAGCAAACACGTGAAATTCAAAATAGTTTTGAAAGTAAATCATAAATGGGTTAAAAGTCATCTTCTAGTAACGGTAACGTAAACGTTCAGCGCTCTGTGTGTCCTTGCTTGCTCTTGGAGTTTAAATAAACACATTTCACATCAGAGATAAATGACAGCCAGTGGGAAACTAGCATATATTGAGTGTGAAATGAGAGTTTTCTGTGTCGTCGTATGGTGTAAATCAGTGTTATTTTAGTATCATTGAGATACTATTATAGTTTGTATTAATATTTTGAATAGTTTTGTTTATATTTACCATTTAATTTTAATTTAGATTTAAGTTTCAGTAATTTTGTTGTGTTTTTGTCATATGTCTATATAATTTTTAGTTATTTTATTTCAGTTTTAAATTATATATATATATGTGACTCTGCAGCACAAAAGCAGTGTTGAGTCGCTGGGGGATATTTGTAGCAATAGCCAACAATACATTGTATGGGTCACAATTATACATTTTTCTTTTATGCCAAAAATCATTAGGATATTAAGTAAAGATCATGTTCCATGAAGATATTTTGTAAATTTCCTACCATAAATATATCAAAACTTTTTATTAGTAATATGCATTGCTAAGAACTTCATTTGGACAACTTTAAAGATGATTTTCTCAATATTTAGATTTTTTTGCACCCTCAGATTCCAGATTTTCAAATAGTTGTATCTCAGCCAAATATTGTCCTATCCTAACAAACCATACATCAATGGAAATCTTGTTTATTTAAAATCTAAAAAAAATAAAAATAAATGGACCCTTATGACTGGTTTTGTGGTCCAGGGTCTCTCTCTCTCACACACACACACCTGTATATATATATATATATATATATATACAGTAGTCAACATTTAAAGTGGATCAAAACCTTTCATCAAAGTTGTCCAAAAACCAAAACATTACCTGTTCTTGTCTTAGGACAACTTTGATTAACTTTTTTTGATCCACTTCAAATGTTGACTACTGTATGTACTGTATGTATGTATGAATTTGTGTATGTATATACCGGTAGATATATATTATTTCAGATAACATTTTATTTCAAGTAATAAAAATTTTTTTTTTAATGTTTTTATTTTTAATAACCCTGGTGTAACTATACTTAAGACATACAGCTCTACAAAGTTTATTTTGTGTATTTTCCTGCACACTTTAGGAGAACCAGGGATTATCGTTGGCCGAATCAATCCACATGATCCGTTACGTCGTTTTGATGGCTACGCGAATCAAGAGGCCACCAATAAAAAGATCTCTCACAATGTCTTCAAACAGGGAGACTCTGCGTATGTGTCAGGTAAAGCTGAATTCTCCAGAGATGAGCTAGTCCATACGTGTGCTGGATGGATGGCTCTGACTCTGTGTTCCTCTGTCTCAGGTGATTTGATGGTGATGGATGAGCTGGGTTACGTGTATTTCCGGGACCGAGGTGGAGACACGTTCCGCTGGCGGGGGGAGAACGTCTCCACCACAGAGGTGGAAGGAATCCTGAGCGCTCTGCTGAATCAGACGGATGTGGCCGTCTACGGCGTCTCAGTGCCAGGTGAGTCTGCAGATGCAGAAATAATAAACAGTAGATGTTTTATATAAAGAAAAGAGCTGCAGATGCTTTATGTATTGAGGTGGATGAAGAGCTGAAGCTGTGGATGTTTGTCGGGAATGTGAAATGGCAAAATAACCAAGCATGTACACTGTGTGCACAATTATTCACTTAAATGTTCAGGTTTGAGGGTTTGTTAACATTTTGGATTGACCAAGAGCACTGTAGTTGTACAATAACTAAATTAATCCTCAAAAATACAACTTGCCTAATAATTGTGCACACAGTGTATGTGCCTGTTAAATTAAAGCACACAATCATCTCTCTGAAGCTCATTTCACCCCAGAGGAAATAAAATAAAAATATAATTGTGGCTTTATATCTTGCAATTGGCTCTTTACATCTTGTAATTGCAAGTTTTTTTTATTTATATTAATTTGTTTTATTTATTTATTTTATTTTTTATTTTTTTGCAGGATTCTTTGTATGTTGCAATTGCTATTGTTTCTCATAATTTCGACTTTATAGCTGACATAATATCTCACAATGTGACTTTCTTGTGATTGGACTCTTTCTTGTAACTGGAACTTTATGTATCTTACAGTTGTGACTTTATAATTCAATCTGATTTACAAATATGTCTTGTAGTTGCAGCTTTCTATCTCCCAGATGTGACTTCATATCTTTAAACATTACTTTAAATGTCACAATTGCAACTTTTCTTTACAATTGTGACTTTATAATTCACTGTGACTTTACCCCTCGGTTTCACAGACACATCTTAAGCCTAGTCCCAGACTAAACTGCATGTCTGAGCGGTTTAAACTGACATAAAATGCATCTTAAAATATATCAGTGCAATTGTTTTGTCTCAAGATGCACACCAGTAATGTTTTCTTCTAAGGAACATTTATAAAAGAAAATACAACCCAGTGCTGGGTAAAATAGGGACAAACCCAGCAATTGGGTTGTTTTGACCCAGCGGTTGGGTTAAATGTTTAACACAACCTTCTGGGTAGTAACCCAACCGCTGGGTCAAAACAACCCAATTGCTGGGTTTGTCCCTATTTAGTTAACCCAGCATTTTTTAGAGTGTAAAGTTTTGCATTTTACAAATTCGCAGCTGCCAGTTTTTTCTTTCTTTCTGTGGATTTGACTGATTTTTATTTTTACAGTATAAAATCTGTATTCCTGTAAAATCTGTATTATAGTTCATCCAGAAATGTAAATGTCGTTACAAACCTCTATGGACTTACTTTCCTCCGTTGAACACAAAAGAAGATATTTTAAAGACTTTGACTTCCATTACAGGTGAACTATCCCTTTAACAAATTACCAAATGTTGAAAGTATAACAAATGATATAGATCATCATATGTGTAAAGGCCGTCCAAACACAGGCTGTTAAATCTCACAGAGAGACACTGAACAGTCTGACTGAAGCAGAAATCCAGCACAGAGGGGTTGAGTGAATGTGGTGTTGAATGTGTGTAAGTGTGTGAGTGTGTGTGTGTCAGAGACGCTGTAGAAGGACAGAGTGCCGGCAGACACATCCAGATACACTCCTACTCTATTAGATGGTGAAGAGGCTGGTATATTAGTCATCTGATTATTGTGATAGGCAAGATAGCTGTAACGAGAACACTTTAGCACCCAAGAGCGTGCATTACGGCTGAACAAAAAGTCATTATCAGCTCCTTTATATCTCGTTCCTTTATATGTCACTGCTATCTCAACCCACATCCTCGTGCTCCACTCAACCTCCCAGTAACAGCGTCCAGTCAGACTCTCTCGACACAGAACCTGCGGCTGCCAGTCGAATCTCTCCGGATGACCCGGATACGGCTGCTTCTCTCTCACGTGCATGGCCTTGCGGTTCCTCTCAGACAGAAAGAGGTTCGGATGTGCCGTGTTTGGATCCAGTGTAAGATTACGGGCATCTGAACACAAATGTAGAGAGCATTTAATGCACGGAAGTATTTTGGCTAAACACTGAAAATGTGTTTGTGTGTGTATTTAAACCTACACTGTTTAATCTCCAAATCTTGGCCATTTATGCTGTAGAAGAACAAGCACAAATAAAGGTACGATATCAGTGGCATATTGAACGTGTACTGAATATACTGTATAGCCTGTAGCTAGCATGCAATGCAAGTTGCTTTAGATAATGGTGTATAACAACTGCCAACCCGATCTCATGAAAATGCGTATAAATAGTAAGCCAAATAAAAACGAAAACTCGTATTGATAAGCAAAAATGGACTTTGGCGTGTATATGCTACGCGATGGGTAGGTTTAGGGTTGTGGGGTAGATGCGTATCATATGTACGCCAACAAATTTCGTATCATATGCATACCAAAGTCCATTTTTGCGTATCAATACCACACTCTAAAAAATGCTGGGTTAAATACAACCCAGTGCTGGGTAAAATAGGGACAAACCCAGCAATTGGGTTGTTTTGACCCAGCGGTTGGGTTAAATGTTTAACACAACCTTCTTGGTAGTAACTCAACCGCTGGGTCAAAACAACCCAATTGCGGAATTTGTCCCTATTTTACCCAGCACTGGGTTGTATTTAACCCAGCATTTTTTAGGGTGCACGAGTTTTCGTTTTTATTTGGAGTACTATTTATACGCATTTTCATGAGACCGGGCTCCAAATGCAATAAGGTCCCATTAGTTAATGCATTAACAAACAATGAGCAATGCATTTGTTACAGTATTTATTCATCTTTAATTTAATTAATACAAATGCAGATGTCCATTGTTAGATCAGGTTGATTAAATAAATCTTGAGCTGAATTAAGATGGATGACGGCACTGTTGTTTTCTGTACAGCTGCTTTAATTACAGCTGAATCTCATCTGGCAGCACTGGCAGGTATTTAACTGAATCAAATCAACATTGAACTGACTTGAGCTGAACAACAACATTGCTGCTTTTTTGTATTGAACTCATGTTATAATTGTGGAACTTCACAATATTATTGATCTGAACTGAACCAACAGTAAACTGACATGAACTGATTAATGTCAGTACTGTGTTTTAGTCTGAACTGTCTCCTAGTTATTTGATTGATTCTGTTACTTATCTCTGTGACGCTGCTTCGACACAATCTGTATTGCATAAAATGCTATATAAATAAATAGCAGTAGGCTATTGACAGATAAACTTTTGATTTTTATAATGTATTAGTAAATATTGATATTAACATGAACTGAGATTAATAAATGCTTTACATGAATTGGTTAGGTATGTTAAGTTATCTACTGTCAGAAAACATAACGTATTGTAAAGTGTTTGCAAAAATGCAAACGTAAACGTTCCTACCTTGGAAGTGGAAAACTTCAAAACTGGCAAATGCAATTTCTTTTTCATCATTAATTCATGTCAGCTCAGGTTCATTAAATAATATTAACAGACACAACCTCTTCTTCTAATAACGTAGAAATGTTGAAATCGACATAAACGAAGATTAATAAATGCTTTAGAAATATCCCTCATTGTTAGTTCCATGTTAACTAATGTTAACAAATGTAACCGTATTGTAAAATGTAATTAATGTAAATGCAAATGTTCCTACCTCGGACCTGTAAGTGAAAAGCTCTTAAAAACTGGAAAACTTAATTTCTTCTCAGCACTGCGGGACTGTTGCTCTAGACCTTTAAAAAAAAAACCAGAATCTTATGTATTGAACCAGAACTCTACATGCAGTGTTTTCATGTTGTCAGTGTTATAGTCATACCGACAGCACTGGAGCTCGAGTTGACGGTCACTGGACTTGAGAGTACAGGAGCATTTACAGCTTCACCTGATTGAAGAGACAGAGAAATGTATTCAGAGAATTTCTGATGTTACAGTCGTAGCATTTGTAATGCTTCTCCTTCATTACCATCCTTGTATTCGTTCTCTAACTGTTCAGCCAGATGGTTCTCATTCATCTTCCTCAGGATGTCCAACATGGCCTGCACAGCTCCTGCTGGTGTGAATCGTGCCACCATTATGTCCACTAGGCCAGTGGCTTCTGCGTTCTCTGTATCAGCTGTTGAAATAAAGGTATAATTCTTCTTTAACAGCCATTTAAACCTGTGTAGTTTTTTAGAGTCCAGATCATCCAGAATCTTTAGAAGCAGTTCATCAACAGGCGTCATCTTCTATCATTGGTGTTTCTGTGCAGGAGAAGAAAAAAAATATTTAAAACAGACACAAGACTGTAAAAATGCGGCACTAAATATCAAAGTAGGATGTAATGCATTTAAAATGGCGATGAAATACATTTGCAAACTATCATTATATTCTGTGAGCTTATTCAAGATCAAGATTAACTACATATGTTCTTTAATGCACTTTGCATTTTGTAAAGAAACTACATTGAAAACATTCAGGCAGAGGCATGATATTGCTAGTCATAAATGCTGCAGCAATGTTGCTTGATGCTATTTAAAGCTGATTTGTGTTTTGAAAAGCTATACACAAATTTGAATCAAAATTATTCACAGTTCAGGTTGCATAAACCATTTGAAAGAGTTCTAGTTATTATAGAAACACTAATATTAAAATATTGATAACATAAATATTTCAATCCGTAAATCATAGAATATTATCAAACTTGTAATCTGTCATGAAGGTGCACTCAAAACATTAAAGGGGTCCTATTATGCTTTTTCACTTTTTTAATTTTAGTAGGCTGCAGCCTAGGGGCCCCACGTGTGCAGGGGTCTCGGATTGGCCGGATTATTTTTTTATTATTTAAAATTTTCTTCACCTCGAACAAAAAATACCCTCAATGGCCCATAAGAAACATCAAATGAGGATTTGTTGCAGAGCGTCTGACAAAATTAATGTCTTGTATTGTAGAATGCACGTTCAGCACCGCCGAGAGTTCTAATAAATTGAAAATGCATTTCAATTTATTTGAGTTATTTATTGAGAACCGGATCCAGCATCAGGAGCAGTGTCTGCGCGTGAAATAATGTAGGTTAGGAGAGGTTGTGATCAAATGGACAGGTGGCTTCTTAAAAGAGGACAAGCTCCTCCGACAGAGGACGAGCAGTGTTGGGGAAAGTTACTTTTAAAAGTAATGCGTTACAATATTGCGTTACTCCATAAAAAAGTAACTAATTACGTT